TCGCAATCATGGTAGTGATAAATTCAGACACCCTCCTGGCTGAGGTTAAGGCCCTAACATCAGAGCCTCCCTACACTATGTTCTGTAAGGACAAGGTTCAGCTCAGACCTCATCCTGCTTTCCTACCGAAGACCGTATCACAGTTTTACATCAACCAGGACATCTTTCTCCTAGTATTCGACCCTAAGCCACATTCTAGTGGCAGGGAGCAGAGACTTCACTCACTGGATGTCCGTAGGGCGCTAGCCTTCTACACTGAGAGAATGAAGCCATTCAGAAAATCAGTCCAGTTATTCGTGGCAGTGGCGGACAGAATGAAAGGTCTGACTGTGTCGTCGTAAAGCATTTCGTCATGGATCATGTGAGTGCTACAGCCTGGCAGGGGTTCCTGCACCTCCAATCACTGCACACTCCCCCAGGGCGCAGGCTTTATCAACAGCGTTCCTGGTCCTCCATTCATGCTTACACCACGCACTATGCGATTACCCAGCAGGCCAGAGACGATGCGGCCTTTGGAAGAGAGTGCTTCAATCAGTGGACAACTCCAACCTCGCCTCCTGAATTTGGGCTTGAGAGTCACTTGATTGGAATTGACATGAACAAGCACTCGAAGAAGAAAAATGATTACTCACCTTCTCGCAACTGTTGTTCTCCGAGATGCGTTGTTCATGTCCATTCCAATACCCACCCTCCTACCCCTCCATCGGAGTAGCCAGCAAGAAGGAACTGAGGGGGTGGTGGGTCGGCTGGGCCCTTTATTGGGCGTCATGAAGATGCAACTCCAGGGAACGCCCAGGCCAACCCCACGGATGCTGCTAGGGGGAAAATCTCCCAGCTATTGTGCACGTGCGCACACACACACCTGATTGGAATGGACATGAACAACACATCTCGAAGAACAAAAGTGGTTTTTTTTGGTTGAACCTCCTGGGACTAGCCAGGTGTCACATCTGTAGAATTTGGAAGCTCTTTATGCCATCACTTTACAAAAGACTGGTCAAGTGACCTTAGAACTAAGCCTTTCCTCAAAAGAGAAGCCTGCCAAGAAATTCTTAGAGAATTGATCTTCATGCCAAGACTGAAATTGGCAGGCATCCATGTTTGGCTATCTCTTTAAAGTGATGAATTTTTAGAATTGTATCAGATATGAAGGCCCCATATGACATGCAAGGCCAGAAAAGTTCTTCAGGACAACTTAAACATTTAATTACAGAAGTTGCATAACTAAGCACATAAAATATGAAGTCTGCACTGGAAACCCGAAAAGTCATCCTCAGAACTTTTGCCCTGCTTAGGAGTTCTATTCCATTTCCTCCCTCACGCCAATTAACGTCTGCCATGTGAAGACTAGTTTAGGGTCCAATTCTGACACCCATGCACAGGTTAAGAAATTTCTTTCCTCACAGACAGTCCTACTGAAGTCAATAGTAACTCTCACAGAATAACACCAGAATGTAGCCCACTGAGATTTAAGATACAAATGAGAATCTGACATCATAAAACAGAAGTCCACTGAATCCAATGGATTTCACTTTCATAATAATAGAGGAGAGAGTAAGTAATATCATGCCTTCATGATTAAGACTGAATTGATTTGATTGGGAAACAATACGTAATAAATATTTTACTCAACTAATTGGGGTGTTTATAGCTAGTTGAAATTGACATTTTTTCAAGTCAGACATTTAAAAAAAAAATTCCCTAAAATACCAGAAAGATTTTTATTTACTATTTCATACATTTTCTCCCCTCTGACCAGTTCTGTCAACCCAAATACAAGGTTACACAGAAAAAAACAAACCTGCAACTGTTTATTCTCTTACTTGCATTCAGTCTGAACATCTTTCCCCTCCATACTCCATTTTTTTGGGGGGGAGGGAGAAAAGAGATCGCATTCCTCTCTGCAATCCTCCTCCTCAGCCATCTTTTTGTTAACAAATGAGCAGTAGCTCCTCCATAGTGTTTTTATCCCCTTCTCTCTCTCTCTCTGTTCTGTCAGTTCATCTTCTATTCTTTCCCCTTCACTCTTATCCAGTTTTGGCAGTGCCTTAATTCCCTCCTCTCTCTCTTCCTCTCCCCTCCCCCACTCCCATCTCTCTACTCAGATGATGTGCTATAATAGAGTGTTGCCAGATTAAGAGACATCAGTTTATGATACAAAGGGATGAAGAGATAAGTTTACCTTAAGTAATTCAAGAATTTTTGGAGAAAGATCAAAATACTACTGCTAAGTTGGGAATCTGTCTGACTTGCTCAAGATAATGAATGTAGGAAGCTGAGAAAAAACACAGCTGTCTTATTTGTCTTCCACAAAGACTGAAAGTTAACTTGAGCTATCCTATGTACACAATTTGAGCAAGACATTTAAATACAACCCATTCTCTATGGACTTAAAAACAACAGTACCAGTAGAACACCAGAGTTACAAACTGACCGGTCGATCACACACACCTCATTTAGAACCAGAAGTATGCAATCAGGAAGCAACCGGGGAGAGGGGGAGGGGGGGAAAAAGGACGACGGGACACCAAAAAATTCAAATACAGTACAGTACTATATTAAATGTAAACTACTAAAAAAAAATACAGGGAAAGTTAAAAAATAGATTGGACGAGGTAAGGGAACTGTTTCTGTGCTTGTTTCCTTTAAATTAAGATAGCTAAAAGCAGCATTTTTTGTTTGCATAGTAAAGTTTCAAAGCTGTATTAAGTTAATGTTCAGTTGTAAACTTTTGAAAGAACCACCATAACGTTTTTCCCCCAGGTGTTCGAAACTGAGGTTCTATTGTACCTCTTTAAAAAAACTAAAACTTGGGTACAACATGCGAGAGCATAGGCTTGACAGCCTGGGGATTGTGAACAGGTCTCAGAACATCCTGGCCACCTTCCTTTTCCTTATAGCTAGGAATGAGGTCTCAAGACTTTGCTGCCGTAACATGGGTTTGCAGTATGGAAGAGGTTGAGAACCACTGTGCTAGGGAATCAATTTGCTTTACTTCCCCCACCAACCTTGCATTTTGTACTGATTATCCCTCACTACTGTTACCAATAGGACAATATTAACCCACTGGACCCCCCCTTCCTCTACAGTTAGGAGGCACTACTAAATAGTAAACAACTTATTTCATTTTAAATGCGTAACTAATGCTGTAAGAAAATTGTGACTTTTTTGGTCCAAAAGTTGTGGCCAGTTTGTTAAAGTTGCAGTTTGAGGTGTATGTCGGACTTGAACTATTGTTCTGTAACTGCCTAGGTGTTGAGTTGGCAGCAGGGTCCTTTACCCTCTAAAAGGGGCTGGATACCCTGTCCCTCATTCCTCCAATCCCCAGGTTGGGGGTGGAGGGGACAAGCCCCTGTATCCCAGAGCCAGCCCCACCTCAGAGAGCCTTGGAGGTCCTGCGGGGTGGGGACTGGCACCACTGGAGCTCCCCTATCCCAGCCCTGTGTAGGCACAAGCCCCAGCTCCTACCTGGCCTCACTTATTGGGGCCTCCCCAAGCTCATCCCTTGGCGAGACTGTGCAGCCATGAAAGACAAAGTCCTGAAGGTCACAGAAGAACCACTGCTGCTTGGTGGGCCCAGCTTGCACCACCTAGCAGAGGGAGAACTGCACCTAGGCAAAAAATGTGAGGATAGTGCCAGCAGGGCCAAGTGCCAGCAGTGGCATTTGGCACAAAACCAAGCCAGCAAGCAGGGCCAACCCCATCCTCCTCCTTGTCTCCCTCTGCCACTGACTCACGATAGAGGGGTGGGTGAGCCAAATGTAAGTGGCATTGAGACCTCCTGCACGAAGCCACAAGGCCACTCCGTTTTCTTACAGCCTTAGCAACAACCTACAAAAAGACTGCACACAAATATAGCTTTCAAGTACTATTATATTCTGAAGTGTGACTAAAGAACATGGGATCCTGGGTTCGGTGTTTGTCACTCAGTGATCTCCATAGCAAGTATGCTCAGTTTGTGAGGGGGGGGGGAAAACACACCCCCAGCAAAAGAGTGACAACCTGGCTGCTGAAAGAGTGTTTGTTTTAGGAGATTACATGCTAGACAGGATTCTGCAAACAGAACTCTGTTAATAATTCTGATGATGCACAACCTAGAAAAGTATCAGACGGGTAGCCGTGTTAGTCTGGATCTGTAAAAAGCAATAAAGAGTCCTGTGGCACCTTATAGACTAATAGACGTATTGGAGCATAAGCTTTCGTGGGTGAATACCCCTTTGTCAGAAAGCTTATGCTCCAATACATCTGTTAGTCTATAAGGTGCCACAGGACTCTTTCTTGCTTCTAACCTAGAAGAGAATCCAGCTCACTCGCCTATAGCCATATTTCTCCCCTGCAGCACTAACAGAAGAAAAAGTTCATTAGAAAAAGTGAACAGATTTGATTTTGGTTAAATTCAGTTTCTGATGACTAAGATGCTTTTATATAATCCAGCAAGTTTAAGTAAGTGTGGTTCTATTCTGAAGACACATTCCAAAACTGGTCATCAGGTTCAATGTTTGTCTCAATGATTCCTGAATCAGATGCATTTTAACTAGATCTTTTTGTTTAAACTGCCAGCCCTTCAAATACAGCCTGGGATCTGAAAGTCAAACCGAGCTCTTTCCATCTCACATATTAACACTAGTAATAAAGGTTCAACTGGCAAATTGTGCTTTCAGTTACAATAATGCAAACTCAGTCTTAAAACTATGCCTTTCAATACTTGTGCAATCTCACTGCCTTCAATGGGTTTGCACTGGGCAATAAATTGTTACTTAGTAAACAATTCTGTTGTTGTGCAGGTAGAATAGAATTCAGCTCATTCAATCTTAAATGTGTTAGCTCTTCAGGGCTAGAAGCAGTAAAAGAATGTCATTAAAACAAAAATTAGAGTACTTAGCTTGATCCTTGTGTGTAAGGATAAATTATTCTCACATAGTCATTCTTTTCAGAAATGAACTGCACTTCAGCTCATTTTCTTACTATCAAATAAAAGATTACAGAAACTTAGTATCTACCTTCTGGTGGTTCGTCATTAAGGTATGAAGGAACTTCCTGTTGATTTTTGTCCGTTTGATTCATTATTGCCTAAAAAAGAAATTCACATCTACTTTATATCATCTCTGGCAAAATCTGAAACAATTTTAAAATTTAAAACACATGCACATGAAAGTTCCCTCAAAAGGACCTTCTTTTCTGTATGGGATAATAAGCAAACAGCATATTCATGACTATTTTTATCGCTGGCTGTTTGCAGGTTCAGATTCATCTCCCCAATTTCAATACTGGTGAAGAGTCCTAGAAAATGAAGTCTTTAAGCATAGACCAGGGTCAGCAGATACAGTGTAAGCCTCCTCGCCTCACTAGCATGTCTCAACCCTGCCTTGGAGGGATTGCCTTAGAGTTGTTGGAGAAAAGGGGGTCGTGAAGAAGCCAATAGGATACTGCAATACCTGGCTATAAATTATAGAAGAACAGATTAAATGGTAGAGGTGCGGGAAAGCATACTATACCCAAGAGATTCTTTAGACCCTAGAGAGACAATTTAAGTGATAGGGAACATACAGCAGAATTTGAATGGGTACAAATTCCAAATCATAAAAATACACCATTAGGGTTCTATTACTGGTTTCCTGATTAGGGAGAGGCAGCAACAGTAATAATGGGCTATTTTAAACATCCACACAGAGACCCATCAAGTTGCTTCTCTATGCCTTAAACAACTGCTTCTTGGACCAGCTAGTTCTAGTACACACAAGAGGAGACACCTCTCATCTCGGTCTTAAGTAAGGATTTTGTTCAAGTCTCAACCACAGTTGAGCCCCCTAATAGCAATCGCTATATAATTAAGTTAGATACTCTCAAACGTCATACCAATAATGAGTACTGAATTTCAGAAGTGCAATATCTAGTCAAGAAAAACCCTAAACTGGAAAGTAAAATTAGAGTCCTTAGACTTATCATGGAGGCTACTAAAGCAGAGGTCTCAGAATACATACATACCTTTAAAGAGAAAAGGAACTAGGAAGGCAAGAAAAAATAAGCCGCCAGGATGGTTGGCTAAACGGCAAGGATCAAGAGATTATCTGAGCCAAACAGGTATCCTTCAGAAAGTGGAAATCCAAACCTGGAAGACAATAGAAATGAGCATAAGCGATGGCGGATAAAATGTAAAACTGCAATTAGGGCTAAAAGGAATTTGTAGCGCAATAGTTGAAGTATATATATCAGAGGAATGCAGTTTGTGAGATGCTACGCCAGTAGGAAGCAACTGAAGCTCACAAGGACGCTGCAGAAAAACGAAGTTATTGCTTTGCATGAATCTTCACTACAGACTATGTTGACGAGATAAGTACCTCAGACTACTCTTGTCAGGTAATAAAGATGAGGTAATAAGAGACTCAAACAGTCACAGAGAAGGTGTTGCAACACACAGAAACTAAGAGAGAAGTCAATAGGCCCAGATGTTATACATCCAAGAGTTCTGAACGAACATAAGAGCAAAGTGACTGAATTGCTAATGAAAGTGTTGTGACAAATTGCAATCCTTAAGAGCAGTTACCCTGAGAGAACTGAAAAATAGCTTAAAAAAATAGAAGATGCTAAGGCAGATATTGAGAACTACTGACTAGTAAATCTTTCAGTACCTGGCAAACTGATTAAAGTGATAATTAAAATCAGAATTAGAGACCAAACAGATGAACGTATGATAGACTAATCAGCTTACCTTCTATAAAAATTATGCCTTTCTAAGCTATCAGAATCCTTTGAATGCGTCAACTAAATAGTGCCTAAAGGAGAACCAGCTGAAACAGTTTGTTTGGCCTTTCAAGAACTTCTGTAAAAAATCCTCATAAGAGGCTGGTAAAGAAATTACGGAGTCACATAGGATAAAAAGCAACATACTGCCAGGTATTAGAAACTGGCTAGGGAGACAAAACTAGTCTAAATAATAAATGGACAGTTCTGAACATGGCAAAAAGATTAGTAGCAGGGTCCACGAGGTTTAATGCCAGGACTACCTGTTTAAATATATGTACTAATGAACAGAAAAAGGAGGTGACCAGTGAGGCAATAAGTTTCACAAATAATTTGTTGTATTATGGTAGCACCTATCAGTCCCCCAAAAGAATCAGGGTCCCATTGTACCAGGCATGGGTACAAACATGAAATAAAGACAATCATGTCTGCCCCAAAGAGCTCAAACTATACACGTCAGACAAGAAACAACAAAATAGACAGATGGGAGGGGGAGGGGGAGTAGGATAAAGAGGTAACTAAGTGAACAGCTATACAAAGTTTAGGTTAGTCAGCACAAGAAGATAACTGTAAGAATTTCAAATGGACCTGACAAAGGTAGGTGAACATGTAGCAAGTTGGGAGATGAATTTCACATTAGAAATTCCTAAAAATGAAGCATAAAAGAAAAAAGGATAGCAGTATATAAAACAAGAGGTATAGAAAAGGTAAAAAGATGCTTTTATTGTCCTTCATATAATAAAAGAAGGAAAGTATGTTCAGTGAAACTGAATAGCAGCAAATCTGAAACTGATAAGGAAAAAGCTTTTTGGGGGGAAAGCATAGTTAACCTGTGGAACACCCCGCCACCAGGAATCTTTGAAGCAAAGAGCCAAATAGGATTTTTTTAAGTCAGATATTTCTATGGATAATGAGTATCTAGTGCTACATTAGAGAGGGGTAAAACAATATTGTTTTAGTGGGATATATACCATGAAGTATGAGAGTTTAAGACTATCTCTGCCCATTAGTGGATTTGAAGAAGCTTCCCCTGTGAACAGATTATTCCATAATTGTCCACTTCAAGATTTCTTGTCAATTCCCCTGAAGCATCTGATATTGACAAACAGGATACTGGATTAGATGGGCCACTGGTCTGATTTGGTATGGCAATTCTTATTTACTAGTCTACATCTCCCTTTAGGTTATTGGGGTATTTGATCTGAGCCCATTGTAATGGAAAGTTCTTTTAAAAAAGCTATTTTATACATTAATAAAAGGACACTCACCATGATGTGTAGGTGACAAACAAAAGAAAAAAAAAAACAGGAGCTTTCATATTCCTGAAGAAAGTGTACTAGAAAGCAAGTTTTGCATTTTAAAGTAAATACAATAAAGGTTTAAAACTACTACATTGAAGGTTTTGTGTTTTATTTTGTTGTGATACTTCAGTTAAATAATATTGCTATGTTTTATAAAACAGCGGCTGTGTTCTACTTCAGAAGTGACTATTTTTGAGGTAGGTAAATGGATTATTCTAAGCACATATGAGGCAAGATGGAAGGATTATTTTAAGTCATTAAATCACTTGATTTTTAAGAACTGATTTAAATCAGATTGAGACTTTGTAAAACTAATTTGAAGATTTGTGCCATTTCAATTTGAGATTAAAATTCAGGATGAATTACAATATAAAAAGCTGGCGGGCTTTTGTTTTTTTAAATACCACTACTAGTAGGATAGCTTGCTTGAAAGTTAAGAAACAATTACAGGCAAAAGCCAAAAGGAAAATTAAAGCCCTGATCCTGAAAATACTTAAGTAGGTACATAATTTTATTCATAGGAATAATCCTACTGACTTCAGTGGTATTACTCATGTACTTAATTTTAAACATATGCATAAGTGCCTGCAGCCTCGTGCTAAACATTTATTAAAGAAACTATTGGCATAAGATGTTTGTTGCTTCAAAACAAAAATTGACCAAGTGGTTCTAACAATGAAAAGTTGTTTAAACTTTCAATATATTATTAACATAGTTAAGTGTTATTGGGTTTTTGTTTTCTTCAATCACAGGCCAAAATCCTCAAAAATAGGACCGTAAAATTACACTCCTAAGGGAGGGATTTTTCAAGAGCTCCTAATTGACTTTGAAACCAAAGTCCCATTGATTTCAAACTCCAAACCCTGATGGAGTATAGCCTGGTCAAGGTGTTTCAACTTTCTTGATTTGAGGAATTTCAGTGGATCAGAAGATGGTGTTGGTCGCAAATATAGAACAGGCTACATGCTTATCAATTTTGTGTCGCTCTCACAACAAGAATGTGAATGAGACCCTGGACTTTATATACAATGTTACTGGTCTGGACTTTAGTCTGTTTGCACATTATAAATGTGATCAAGTCATGATCACTGGTACCTAAGCTATTATTAATTTTCATAATATAGAATTGCCCCATAGTGGATACAACACTTTTTGAGTTAGGAAATTGTATTTTTAAATTCGGAGGATGTTTTAATACTGGCTGAATGAGGCCTCCAGCATATGTCACTCAAAGTTAAGTCCCCCATAATCACGCAACATTTTTTCCTACACATTATAGATAGGCACAGAAGGATGTTTTACACTTAGTTCTTTTGTTCCCTAGTTGTTGGTAGGATTTCGGATCTACTAAGAAGTTTTCACACTTAAACGCTTAACTCAGACTCACAGACTTAAAAGCCAGAAGATATCATCACAATCATCTAGTCTGACCTCCTGCACATTATAGGCCACAGAACCTCCCCACCCACTCCTGTAATAGACCCATAACCTCTGGCTGAGTTACTGAAGTCCTCAAATCGTGATTTAAAGACTTCAACTCTACTGTAAGAAACAAGTCCAGGGTCTCATTCACATCCTTATTGTTAGAACAATGCACACGCACCATGCCTTTAAAAGGGCCAATTTCACAAAGCTGAAAACAATTATGTCCCAAATCAGCTAGAAGGAAGAAATTAATCAGAAAAATGTAAATGCTACTTGTGAATTATTTAAGAACACTTTACTAGATGCCCCAAACAAAAAAAAACGAGGACGGCTGTACTGGTTAGAAAACCAACATGGTTTAGAGGGCAATTAAAAAAAAGCGGGGGGGAAGTTGATAGTAATGAATATAAATCTGAAGCTAGGAATTGCAGAAAATCGATTCAGGAAGCAAAGGGACACAAGGGGAAAATCTATGGCCAAAGTTAAGGAGTTGTTTAAGTATATTAAGAACAAAAAGAATCCTAACAATGGTATTGGTCCATTACTAGAAGGAAACAGTAGTGATCAATAATAATGCAGCAAAGGCACATGTGTTCAATAAATATTTCTGTTCTGTATTTTGGGAAAAAACAAGGATGTAGTCATATCATGATAACACTTTCCATTCCACTAGTATCTCAGGAGCATGTTAAACAGCTGCTACTAAAGCTAGACATTTATGTCAGCAGGTCCAGATAATCTGCATTCAAGAGTTTTAAAAGGCCTGGCAAAGAAGCCTGCTGGACCATTAATGCTGATTTTCAATAAGTCTGAGAACACTGGGGAAGTTCCAGAAGACTGGAAGTAAGCTAATGTTGTGCCAGTACTCAAAAAGGTTAAACTGGATGACCCAAGTAATTATAGGCTTGTCAGTCTGACATCAATCCTGTGCATGATAATGGAGTGGCTGATGCAGGACTTTAATTAAAGGAGGGTAACATAATTAAGGCCAATCGACATGGGTTTATGGAAAGCAGATCCTGTCTAACTTGTTTTTCTTTTCTTTTTTTATGAGACTACAAGTTTGGTTGATAAATGTAACAGTGTTGAGATAATACACCTAGACTTCTGTAAGGCATTTGACTTGGTACCACATGACTTTTGATTAAAAACCTAAAAAGATATAATTAACATGGATTAAGTGGATTAAAAGCTGCTATAGATCTCAAAATGCAACTGTAAACAGGAAATCATCATTGATACAAAATCATCACTGATACAAATTTGCAGATGACTGAAAAAATGGGGGAAATGAAAGGACAGGTCACTGATACAGAGTGATCTGGATTGCTTGGTAAGCTGGGCTCAAGCAAGCAATATGCGTTTTGATACATGTAAATGTATACTTCTAGGTATCAAGAATGTAGGCCATATTTACAGGATGGGGAACTCTATCCTGGGAAGATTTGGGGGTCATGGTGGATAATCAGCTGAACGCGAGTTCCCAGTGCAACACATTGGTCAAAAGGGCTAATGTGATCCTTGAATGCACACAAAGAGGAATATTGAGAAGCAATAGAGAGGTTATTTTACCTCTGTATTTACCACTGGTCCAACTGTTGCTGGAATACTATGTCCAGTTCTGGTGTCCAGAGTTCAAGAAGGATGTTGATAAATTGGAGAGGGTTCAAAGAAGAGCCACGAGAATAATTAAAGGATTAGAAAACATGCCTTGTAGTAATAGATTGAGTTCCTTAAATCTATTTAGTTGAACAAAGAGAAGGTTAAAGGGTGAGTTGATTATAGTCCACACGTATCTACATGGGGAACAACTACTTGATAAATGGAATCTTCATTCTAGCAGAGAAAGGTCTAACACGATCCAATGGCTGGAAGTTGAAGCTAAACAAATTCAGACTGGGAATAAGGTGTACATTTTAATAGTGAGGGTAATTAACCACTGGAAAGGTTGTGGTGGACTCTCCATCACTGGCAATTTAAAAATTAAGACTTTAGGAATTATTTTGGAGAAGTTCTATGGCCTGTGTAATACAGGAGGTCAAAACAGATCACAGTGGACTCTTCTAGCTTTGGAATCTACAAATCCAATTTAACAATTAAGACTAAAATCGGAAGTAAAGCATTAGCAACATGTAAATAAAAATCTGGTTTAAATAAAGAAAAATCAATTTTATTAATCAATTTTATCCATCCTGATATATGACTTAACATTCATAATTAAAGTAGCAAGTTATGTATTGAAAGCCTCCATTTTCCGATCAATTTTTCCAAAAAGTTGTCTTTGGTGGGCTGAAATTTTGCTAAACATATTATTAGACTGAAATTTTCCTAACAGACTTATTTTTTGGTAAATGTGTAGAAAATCCATTCAGCTCTTTTTGAGTTATTGGGTCAGGAAATTTCTTTCTGAAAAAAATACAAATGTTTGTACATGGCTACTTCAAAAGATGGGTAGATCTCAATAAGAAATACTGTAAGACAGGGATTGGCAACCTTTGGCACGTGGCCCATCAGGGAAAGCAGCTGGCGGGCCGGTTTACCTGCAGCGTCCACAGGTTCAGCCAATCACAGCTCCCACTGGCCACGATTCACCGTCCCAGGCCAATGGGGGCTGTGGAAAGCAGCGGCCAGCACATCCCTCAGCCCGCGCCACTTCCCGCAGCCCCCATTGGCCTGGGACGGCGAACCACGGCCAGTGGGAGCTGCAATCGGCCAAACCTGTGGATGCTGCAGGTAAACAAACTGACACGGCCCGCCAGCGGCTTTCCCTGATGGGCCATGTGCCAAAAATTGCCAATCCCTGCTGTAGGATGAAAACAGTAAATTATGTAGTTAAGCAATCAAAAAGTGGGGTTTTGCTTAAGTACAAAATAAACTGCTGTTTTAAGTTGCAGAACTATGAAGTTATGCAAAAAAGCCATGCAACTATATTATTATGTAGGTATTTTCAGAGCAGATAACTACACAGCTCTAAGATGCCTCAGCTAGAGGTTGTTGGTTCTCTTTTTATGACTTCAAAGAAAAAAAAAGTGCAGAAATGTACAATATGGAAACAGAGTTGCATGTTTCACAAAAGACAGGAACTATGTAAATTAGAATTCCTGTATCAATGTTAACTCATCTACGTTGCAGATATTCAGTACTTTTGATTAACCAAGAGTAGGGAATACATATGGGCTATTCTCAAAGGGGGGAGGGGGAAGAGTTACTTACCACAGTAAACAGTGGTTCTTGGAAAGGATGGCCCATATGGAACCCCATGTCTCAAATTAAGGATTCCTATGTTGGTGAAAGAAACTGGAGGGTGGTTGGAGGGACAAGGTGGGCCCATCTGGGTTTTAAAGGACACTGCTTGCTAGAAGTTGTTGATTTTGTATAGGATTCTTGCATCAGACTGTGCAGGTTGGACAAAATACAGTGAGTGAGACAGCTATTGAATATTTATTTTTATCCTCACTGTTCAATGAGTGAATCTGTCTCATTCACTGTATGCTAGCCAACCCGTGCATTTAAAGAGCTCTGAAACCTGGCCTCATTTATTACACAGAGTGTAATATGTCCACAGAAAAATGTTAAAAATGTATCCTCAACTACAATATAAATCCAGATTTATGTGGATAATTGCAGACAGAATGTAGCCAAAAATAAAGATTTCTGTGAATTTTTGCCTCATTCCCCCTGCACCATCCAACCTGTATACTAAGTGAGACAGAAACATAAGACAGTATGAATTAATGTAGCTAAGAGGCTCATCATAAAGCGTATGCACAAGCAGCAAAGTTAAAGTTGTATGAGGAACCTGAATTTTGGTACTTCTTGATTTTTCAGTGTAACTCTGCAACCTTACCATACTTGAAATTCACATGATTGAACGTAGTTTTTGGATGGAAAACAAGTTCTTAGAATACACGAGATCCAGGGCTCTTGCCTTATTGAGAGTGTAAGACCCTACCTCATTTAATTCACATTACTAGATCATACAGAATGAGACACGGTTTCTATGAAGCACTGCCTCATTGCATACATTCTGAGAGTGTGCATATACACCTGCACATGCAAGGTGGTATTTTTCTTTCTATTTCCTCTCACATGTGCACAATGCTAATAAAACATAGGGAGATCATTAGTTTAAAAGCTTACTGCATGTTAAAACCCAGTGCACATGTCAAGTCCAGTTTTTAAACCCTCAACTTAGTGAAAATCCATTTTGGTTTGACCAAGAGGTACATCTCCAACGTAGGGTCTCTGTTTCTGCCTAAACCTTTGAGGTACTAGAGCCATTCAAAACAGGAATTGTAGTTTCTCTTCTTTAACATACAGGCAGAAGTATTTATCACTCTCCACATTAAAAAAAAAATGGCTGAAAAGGTTTTGACTTATCTTTCAAAAACCCTCATTCTCGCAGACAAAAGCTATGGAAAGTTTCAGCCCAAAAGATGAAAGTTTTACAGAATTACTGAAAAAAATAAAAAGTTCTTTAGAACAAAAAATGAACATGGGTAGGCAACCGTATGCACAGGAGTTACTACAGGTGCCAAATACAAGAGTCTACTCAGGATGTACAAAATGATAAAATTAACACTGCTGTAGGTACCTGAACAAAAACAGAAAGTGTTAGAAAATGCTAAGATTAGTTGTGTAACCTTCATGTGCATTAATACAGTTATTGCACTGAATAAAACAAAGGTTATCACTTACCAAATATATTACTTCATTCGGCAGTTTCCACAATAATATTCTATATAAACTTAAGAGAAAGTAACATTTTTAAATTACATCTTACAGAGCAGTGTTTCCAAAGTGATCTGCTTACTTGTGTCATTCTGCCATGCATTTGTGGACCTCTCACTATACACCCTCTCCCCAAAAACAATATCATAAGGACACCCAAGTACTAAAGGAAGGAACCAACATTTCACAAGCTTTATTTCACCTCTAACGTCTGTAGTCTTGGGCAATGGGAATAATGTCCACCTTCTCCACATAGTGTCATGTGCAAGGCTTGGGAACTAGGTGTCAAGATGGAAACTTTCCTTAACAAGCTGGGGGTCTTAAACCAGCAATTTGTGCAGAATTTTAGCTTTTCATTTAAGAGAGAGTTTGGTTTCTAGTTGTTACGGTTTAGATTACCTTCCATACATGAACTAATGCAGCACTATCTTTCTGAGTTTGCAGACAAAACACCCCCAGTGTTTCCACAGCTAGGTGTCCCAAGCAGCAGCGTGAAATCTACATAACTGGTTTGTTTCAATGATGCTATTCAGAACCCTGTGGGAAGGAGTGAAACTGACAAGAAGCAGGTCAATTTTACTTTGGTACTGCTGCTTGGAAAGATTATGAGAAGCGGCTGCAGCAGACACTGGAACTATTTACCTGGGAAAAATGCTCCAAACCAACCAATTACCATGTCAGGCTTACCATCCCCCTATATGCTCCCAAACAGTAAGGAGCAATAGTGGGCACCTTGCAGCCCGACAGGGCAAGCCGCTGGCGGTCCACCAGATCGTTTGTTTACATTTTCGTGGCTGTGGTTTGCCATTCTTGGCCAATAGGATCTGCAGGAAGTGGTGCAAGCCTGTCCGCCACTTCCCGCAGCTCTCATTGGCCGGGAACAGCAAACCACGGCCACTGGGAGCTGCAGGCCCTCGTGCAAATGTAAACAAATGTCTGGCGGCCCGCCAGCGGCTTGCCCTGACGGGCCGTGTGTGGCCCACAGGCTGCAGGTTGCCCACCACTGGTCAGGAGGCTTGGAGATTGAGGTCATGAGGAAAGAGTTCCTCCTCCTTTCCAGCAAACATAGGAGACTTCAAAATGTATCAGACACCTACTAGCCATAGGCGGATACAAAAGGTGCAGCCCCCAAAACAAGATGCAAGGAACTGCACCTTAGAAAGAATCCTAGCACTTTCTACTACAGCATAAGTGTGGGATAAGAAGGGAGATTGGAAGGAAAGCCTTCCCACTAAGGTTCTCATCAGGGTATTGTTCCCATGTTGATTACCCCAACTACTAATTCCCTACTTTAAACCTTAGTGCTAAGTGTTACGGTTAGAAATGCTAAATCTTCCTCGGCACGCCCAGGGGTTTCCATGTCCAGCAGACACCTGAGGATACCATCGCGGAAATCCTATGAGATGTGGCCAGGATCAACTCCTCCCTACTGGCACCATGGCAGAAGATCAATGCCTTGAACACCTTCCTGTTCGCCCGTATTTCATTCATTCTGAGGGGATCTGCTGTGGCGAAGGTACCTCTTAACAAGGCAGACACCGCCACCAGACAATTGGTGAAGAAATGGATGTTTCTTTCCCAGAGGGCCAGCAATGAACTGGTGTACATCTCACACAGGCAGGGCGGCGCCAAAGTCCCTCGAATAGGTGATCTGTGTGACGTTGCGGTGATCACTCACACCTTCTGCCTTCTGACATACCCGGACACCACGGTAAGGAAAATCACAGAAAGTGCTATGCAGGATGCCATCAAGAAATGAATCGCAAGGACCCCCTTCAACCAAGATGTCACCACGTACCTGAATGGCTCCCTGGAAGAAGAATTTGGAAGAGAGGGAGGAGACGTTGCTTCGCTCTGGACTCATGCCCGCAATGCTACGCGATGACAGGGGAAGCGTATCGGCTGCCACTGGACGTGGTACAAGGAACGCCAGGAGCTGGGAGTCCTGGTGCCACAGGTGAAGAATACAGATCATACCATCATCACTCCGAGAGCTAGAACCATGCTGGAGAGGACCTTGAAGGATGCCATCTGCTGCCAATACGTGGAAAACCTGAAACGGAAGCCGGAGCAGGGCAAGGCATTCGAGGGGACGTGCAAGTGGGACGCCAGCAACCACTTCCTCCACGGGGGCAGCTTCACCCGATTTGCCGACTGGAGGTTCATCCACAGGGCCTGGCTCAACTGCGTCCCGCTGAACGAAGCTGTCCGCCACGGGAATCGGGACAAGCAATGCAGGAAATGCGGCTACGCTAACGATATGCTACCCCACGTCCTGTGCAGCTGCAAGCCCCATTCCAGAGCCTGGCAGCTGCAACACAATGCCATCCAAGATCACCTGGCCAGAGCCATCCCGCCGCCCATGGGGAAGGTTGCCGTAAACTCTGCCATCCCTGGAAACGACAGCCAACTGTGACCAGACATCGTCATCACCAACGAGGACCGGAAGAAGATCATCATGGTGGACATCACAGTGCCCTTCGAGAACAGGACCACGGCCTTCCACGATGCCCAAGCTCGAAAGGTAGAGAAATATGCCCCTCTGGCCGAAACCTTGAGAGCTAAGGGTTACCAGGTTCAGACACACACACACTGATCGTCGGAGCCTTGGGCGCATGGAACCCCGGTAACGAGCGAGTGCTGAGAGAATAAGGAATCGGTCAACACTACACTCGGCTGATGCGGCAACTCATGATGTCGGATGCCATCAGGTGGTCGAGGGACATCTACATAGAACACATCACCGGACATCGACAATACCAGGAGAGATGAGCTGGAGTTCCGATGAGAAGCGCAGTCAGGAAAGTAACTGAAATACTTTCCTCATGGATTGTATTGTCTAAAGGGACAACCTTCTAATATCTAAACTGTATTGTTAAATCTATTCACCTAAATTTGGGTTATTGCTGATTATGTACTCTATGTATCATACGAGTTTTAAAAACAAACTTTGTATTTGTGGATAATCTAAGTACTATACCCAGATGCACAGACACTCTATTCTCAACCTATTATATAATTTTTTAACATTAGCTTTCATAAAAAAAATAAATATGTTCTTATTAGTTCAGCATCCACCCAGACACGCTGTAGGTCATGCTACTTTCCAGGAGAGGGGCATGTCTTGTTTTTGCTGCCCCTCTCAAGAAATCTATTTCAGTTAATTTAGGTGACTGGTCTGAAGTTTGTTGGGTTTCTGAAACAAGAGACAATGCATCAACAGCATCATACACTCAGCCAGAAATGCATTAAGGACACAACAGTGTGCCCAGTGTTAGTATTATGGAGAAACAGGACTCCTATTTAAAACCCAATTTTCAAGCCTCTCTAAAATCTACACACACAGTGAGATCAGCCTGAGAACTGACATACCATTTCTGGGGCCAGGGCCAGGGTGCAGTTTGCAGGGCAAATTTGAGGTCAGTTGATCAAAGTGTACCTGAGATACAGACCCTCCTCCACATGAGCAGCTTTAAATTGTAAATCTTTTTGTAAACTTTTTTTGGTGCAGAAAGAGAGAAGAAAGGAAGGAGTAATCAAACAAAAAATATATTATATCCCTGGACTGTGATCTAGTATCCAGCAACAGGCTTAAGCTCCAGAAGTAGAGCAAAAAAAATACTGGATGTTCTTTGGTTCTAGAGATGAGCTATTCCTGTATCAATGCTGAAGTGGGGAGGTGCCAGTTGCGAACAAGACCACCACCAAAGAAAGAACAGTACCAACTAAAAGCAGGCTCATTGAGGAAGTTTGGAGGAGCCAGCCCAGTTAGCGAGCAATCTACTACATTAAAAAAATAAAACATGTTAGAAGTCTGAAAGTGCAGAGTCAAGGTAACATTTGTCCCACACAATACCAACCTTAACTCATTCCCTGTAGTAATGCCAAGAAGAACTGGGAACATTGCAATACCTAACCCTAATAGAACTTGAAATTTTCTCTACACCCATAACAATCTGAAATCAGAACTCCTTACTTATGTACTCCAATGGACCCTCAATATGCTATAGACAGCATCACTGCTCTGGAGAGTACTTGCTGCTGGTAGACAGAGATCACAATGCAGAAAAAGGTTTAGGGAGGTGCAAAGTACTGAATTAAATGGGGCAGAGCTAAGGTTATGCAAAGTGACCTTCACTCTACATTTGCTTGTTTTCCAACATGTGTATTTTGGAAATTAAACTCATGGTAAGGAAAGTGGCCTGTCCCCCACTATCTAACATCTCTCATCCACTACCAAGATGTTATCTCCCATCTCCACTTTGCCAGTGAAGTCAGCCTTCATTGCCTACTTTAAGTTTTCCAAATGAGCACTTTTGTGCTGTCTCTTATGCCTGAGATGAGTTCCTTGTCTTCTTGCAAATTCCTCATTACATTTCCTTTGCTAGGATACCTAAAAAAAAATTAAAACTTGACTATTCTTGTCTTATACTTAGATTGTAGGCTCTTTGGATCAGGGACCTTCTTTTTGTTAAGAATTTGTACAGCGTCTAGTACAACGGAGTCTAGGTTGATGACATAGGTTCCTAGGCTCTACCGCTATACCAATATGAACTCTGAGTGCCTACAACCTTGACTTAATGGCAACAAAGGGTTTTGGCTTTTTACATATGAATTTGTTCTTGTGACAGACAAGTAAACAAGTGTTTACTGGGTAGCCTTAGACGTTGGTATATATAAGCTAATGTTAATTTGTGCATTTAAATTACCTTCCCACTTACAAAATTCTACTGTACTTCTATCCTTCCTCAAAGGGAGATTTATGAAAATGCATAGCTTCTTTCAGAAGAATTTCCATTCAGTGAGCTATGCTTCAATAGTAAGTATTTCAGTTTAAAGCTAAAGGTAAAAAAATAAACTTGTAGTAACTCAGCAATGCTATACACATTCTGCAATTGTTTTCTATATGAAATCTACCATATCTTCATTCGTAGGGCTGCAAGTGAGAGCTTTAACAAACAAGTGCAGGGACCTGCCCAACAATATTTGCACAGAGATTGTCTATTAGCTTAGTGCAACCATCACAGCTAGTGGTGTGGTTATAAAATAATGAGTTTATTTTCAGGCTACACCACGTAGGTAGCTGTATTAAGTCAATAATGACCAAGTTTAAGTAATGAACTATTTGCATACAATTTGTGGAACCTTATTCACATCTATTTTGCCATAACAGCCTATTTAGAAGACAATGCAACTTACTATGGGGAACACTGGTAAAAACTCATTTTATCTCTCTAAGTGGTCTCACACCACACCCAGAAGGTGTGTTGGTTACATACTTCCCCTAGCAGAGGAAGCGCATCCCGAGCTTCAGCACTTCCGCTTCAGACACTTCCCAGTTGGTAAAAACTGTGGCAAGTGTTTAATATTTTTACATTACGACTGTATCCCAAAACAATTCTGAATTGATAAAGGATAGCGCAAACAAAGAAAGAAAGAGGAATGATCAAGGAAGAAAAGATTTTCAGATGAAATTGTGAGAGAATAGCTGAAGCAGAGAGATAAAGAAAAAGAGTAATAGCTGCAGAGAAGGCTTTCACACCAACTGTTGCAATAAATAAAATTCTATGGAAGAGTGGAGCAAGGGTCAGCACCAGACAAGCTGAAAGGGAAGAGAATAAAGCCAGATCCTTGAGCTAGCCTGAAGTCCATGGAGAAATTAAGAACCCAGGCACTTTTGAGCTGGATCCTGAAGTTAATTGAGAACTAGAGGAATCCAAGGCTGTAATGCAGCCCAATTTCTTTCAATTTGCAAACACAGGTAACACCACTGTGACATTAATTCATACATTAAAATGTTACAGACTCTCCAGTGAACCAAGGAGTATTGTTTTGAAGTAAAATCCTGCTCCATCCCCTGGTGTTTTTCCTCCTCCATTTTATATTTGGAAATCTCCTAAATCAGATTTTAGGACAAAGAACATATAAGCAAATTTCCACATAAGTTGTGAGAAGACAGTTTATCATTTCTCTATTTTGAGTAAGCTCTGGGCACTTCTGGCCCAATGTAGCCAGCTGTCAGATGGGGCCTGAAAACAAACTTGAGTGACATTATAACCACTGCCTTTGTAACTGCAGTTCCTTTCAATGGGGACCCTGAAGCCAGAGAGAGAACTTTTTTGGACAGCAGGAATGACGTGGCAGGAGAGGCAGTGATTTAACCTGGAGTCTCTGCCACAGGCTGCCTGGACTCCTTCTTTGCCCCCACCCCCTTCTTCTCTTCCACGTTGTACACAACCTTCGGCTCCAGACACAAAGTGTGAACACCTCCCTCCCCTGCCAGATTGCACAGAAGGCCGAATTCTGCTCTCACTTACACTTGGCCAAGCCCCTACTTTGGGGGGGGGGGGTCAGACGCAACTAACGCCCCCAAAGCAGCTGATGCTAACTTCCCTGGGGGGGGGGGTGTTAAGGAGCGATGTGCGTGTACTACAGCTAGACACATCACACCCACCGCTTCCTTTCTGCAGCACGGAGGGCAGCAGAGTCACCCCCTAAGGCACAACGAGGCCCAAGGAAGAGAGAGACAGAGCAAGAGGAGCCCCGGGGCAGGTTACACATGGAGGGGGCCCCGGGCAGGACTTTCCTTTGTGCCCTCTCCCACCCCCCGCCCGGGCTGGTTGCTCGGGGCGGCTCTGCCCCCGGCAGGCTCCCTCTCACCAAGCAGGGCCCCAGGGGGGGGGTCCAGCCAGAGACACCCCTCCCCACTGTCGTGACACAGCCCCCCCCCGGGCTAATGGGAATCCAGCTCCTCTCGCGACACGCGAGAACGGGCCCCCGCCAGCGCTGCCCAGCTCCCCGCGACCCGGCGCCCGCCGAGCAGCCAGGCTGCTCCGACCCCGCGCCACTCACCCGCCGGCTGCAGCCCGCTCCCTGCCCGGCGCAGACTTTACTCTCCTGCGCCGCGGCTCTGCGGCTGCTGCTGCCGACGTGGCGCCCTACGCTGCCCGCCCCGTCCGCCCCGCAGACCCCGCCCTAGCCCGGCCCCCACCCCCCGGAGGGGCGCGCAGGCGCCGGCTCCCCGCCTGCCTCCATGTGTCGTCCGGGGCCGGG